AATATTCTGAAGAAAAAATGATTTCCTTCTTGGGCCAATTGATCTGTGGGTTGTGGGCTTGCAACCAGGGTATTCCTAGGATGGCTGGAAACATGGGGGATCTGATCATGTCAAAACGCATAATCTCCTGATGGCCGGAGTCGGTGGTTGCAAGAATAGGAATAGTTTCCTGGGTAACAGGTCCGGAACTCGGAGTAGTGCCATCCGCAAGTAAGATGTCAAGTCTCTGTTTCTTAGGCAGAAGAGGGATGTGTAAGTTCTTGGCCAATTGGATGTCTAAGAAACAGCTACAAGCTCCCGAGTCAACGACTGCCCGCAACTGGACGTCCCTTCCAGCCACCTGCAAAGACATGGGGAGAGTGACATGGGTGGTTAAAGTCCCAGATAGCTGAAGGTACCAAGGATGGGGCTGACTGGACTTACTTGGGCGTACTGGGCAGTTATGCAGGAAGACAGAGATTTCCTTGCTGTCTGCGTAGCCTTTCTTCCGGAGTTAGGGCAGGTCGGAGAAGGCTGATTTGCATAGGTTTTACCTCTGAATTGTTGATGGGTTGCGGAACAAGGGCAGGAGCCGTTGGCCCTGGAACTTTTGGCAGAACCCAAGTGGGCCGAAAGGTCTGAGTATGCTTTCCCGTAGACGCCGATCCAACTGAGCAGCAAGCAGGATAAGGTTCTCCAAGGAGGAGGGAGTTTCCACCCTAGCTAACTTGTCCTTGAGGGACTCGGACAGGCCTAGACGGAACTGGTACTTCAATGCTGCATCATTCCAACCAGTGTCTGCAGACCATTTACGGAACTCCACTATGTAGTCCTCCACAGGCCGCCGACCTTGTAGTAGAGCGTGGAGGGCGGACTCAGCAGTGGAGGTCCTCTGGGGATCGTCGTAGAGGGCAGCCATGGCTTCAAAGAATTCACTCACTGAATTGAGCGCTGGGCTCTTTTGTTCCAGAAGACTATGTGCGCAAGTCTGAGGTTCTTCAGACAAGAGGAAGATGATGAACCCGACCTTGACCGCTTCCAGAGAAAAGGTCCTGGGTTGCAGAGCAAAATATAATTCACAGGCATTCTTGAAAGCTCAGAACTTACGTCGATCCCTGAGAAAACGTTCAGGAGTAGGAACTCTGGGTTCCGGAGGTGGTAACACTATAGTGGTGGCAGGAGACTGACTGGCAGGTGCGGCTACTGGGCAAATTTGAAAATTTAAAAAAAATGACTTTTTTTTTTAAATGATTATTTCATAGCAAAACATTCCTGTATCAAAGCATTTCACACACATTTTGTCCCTACTGCTTTGTCCTGTGCCCTGCCTGCATTTTGACTGTTCTTTCTGCCTGGAAACTTAGAAAAGTCCACGGCGTCCAAAAAGCGTCTCTTTAGGTCAAAATCGGTTTTAGGCCGGCTAGAGAACAGCGATAGTCAATCAGAACTACTTGCAGAATTGAGTGATAATGATTCATGGGGGAAATTCGTCATCAGACACTGAAGACGATTTTGCGACTTTGCTCAGTGATGTGCGAACTTGGCGCTATATGTCAAATTTCAGTGTTTTTGGTTTGATTATAATATTGAATTAAATTTATTATTATTATATTATTATTTTTTATGAGTATTTATTAAGTAAGTAATTACTAAGAATTGCAGGCCTACAATACATAACACCAAATTTCCATGCAAAAAAATGGTACCGCTTTTGGTACAAAATTCCTGGCATAATCATACCGCCAGGGAGGTTAATTAATTGTGATCTCAAGATCCTTACTAAAATTTTGGCTTTACGCCTCCATAAATTCTTGGCCCTTTATATTCATGATGATCAATCAGGATTCATCAGCGGTCGACAAACTCTGGACCAAATTCCTGGTACTTTGGCTTTGTTGTCAGCTGTACAATCTAACTGGGACAAATCCTCACTGAGGGAAGTCCTACTATTATCATTAGATTTCCATAAAGCGTTTGACAGTTTATCTTGGGACTATCTATCTCAGATGTTGGGTAGGTTTGGGTTTGGCCCTTTTTTTATGACTTTAATGCGGGCTCTTTATTCTAATCCTTCAGCTCAGGTTTCCATTTGTGGATACAAATCAGCTCCTCTGTCTACTGAGCGAGGTACTAGACAGGGCTGCCCCCTTTCTCCTCTACTTTTTGCTTTGTCAATGGAACCACTTGCCATTGCTATCTGCTCTGATCCTACTATTTCTGGCATCTACTGTGGCCAACGTGATCATAAATGTGCTTTATTTGCTGACGATGTCCTTATGTATATATCTACCCCGCGAACATCTTTACCTAGTCTCCTCCACTTATTTCATCATTTTTCTACAGCCTCTGGTCTTACTCGTAATTCCTCTAAAACAATTACTTAAAATATTTCTCTACCTGATTCGGAGGTTCAATATCTGCGGGACAACTTTAATTTTCAATGGGCCTCTCGTTCTCTCCCTTATTTGGGGATTCATCTCACGAACTCTATCTCGTCGCTGTATAAGACCAATTACCCTCCTCTCTTTAAACAACTTAAAACTGACTTACATGATTGGGAGGATCTTCCTTTATCCTGGTTTGGTAGAATTAATTCTATTAAGATGACTTTTTTGCAGAGACTATTATATTACTTTCGGACTTTGCCAATCATGGTACCCAAACGGGAACTCTTAATTTTACAAGCAGCAGTCTCTAGATTTACATGGAAAGGAAAACATCCTTGGGTTAACAAGTCAATTTCATTTTTCCTAAAAAATCATGGCGGTTTGGGACTTCCTAATTTTCTGATTTATTTTCTGGCGGCTCAGATGGCACTCTCTTGTACTACCGCTAGGGGTTATGTTCCCCAGTGGGTTGGCATTGAGGCCTTATCTTGCCGTCCCTATGCTATTGGCGGTCTCATGTGGCTTCCAAGTCGGTTGGGTCCTCCTATCCTGTGTCCTATGTTATCCTATTCTTTAACAGTTTGGGATGGATGGCGGGCCCGCAAACCTCTCTATTCTCTACATACCCCTTTAGCTCCAGTCTTTTGTAACCCTGAGTTTATTCCTGGCCTATCACCATCTGCGTTTCAGTGGCAGATCAGTAAGGGTTTTTTGCGTATTGGGGACTATTTAGATGGCCTTCGTCCTCGTTCTCTCCAATACTTTTTGACAAATTGCCAGATGCCCTCCAGTGAACTGTTCCGTTGCCATCAAATTATATCTTTTATCACCAGTAACCTCAAATTACTTGTAGAACCCTGTACACTCACATCTCTAGAGATCTCCTGTGGGGCTACTGGGATGATGAAAAGTCGATTATCTATTATTTATGCTTCCCTTCATGATCCACTTAGTAAGCTAACCGGTATGACTCAGTGGGAAAGGGATTTGAATAGTTCTTTAGATCTGGACACTTTGCGGACTACAGCCAATTCTCTATTTAAAATTTTGATTAATACTACTCTTATCGAATCCAATTATAAAACACTTCTTCACTGGTACCTAGTTCCTACACGTCTTGCTAAAATGTTCCCATCTGTGTCCCCTAATTGCTTTCGACATTGCGGACAAGATGGAACTATGCTCCACATATGGTGAAAATGTCCGATGGTTCATAGATCTTGGATCCGAATATTTAACTTCATTTATTCAGTAACGGGAATTAATATTCATAAATCACAGGAAGTAGCCTTATTTCATTTGTTGCCCACTGATATTCCCAAGAAATCAGTTAAATTAATCCTTTATCTTCTGTTGGCAGCACTACAGCTAGATGTTGGAGACAGTCATCAATTCCGCTACACTCGGTCAAACAGAAACTTAATTGGATTATGATAAATGATAAATTTACGAGTATCATTAATAATAATACTTCTAAATTTGAGGTTACATGGGAACCATGGATGAGGTATATTTCTATAGGGCAGCACAGTGGCTAAGTGGTTAGCACTTCCGCCTGGCAGTACTAGGGTCTTTGTTTCGAATTCCAACCATGGCACCAACTGCTTGGAATTTGCATGTTCTCCCTGTGTCTGCATGGGTTTCCTCCGGGTACTCCGGTTTCCTCCTACATTCCAAAGACATGCTGGTAGGTTAATTGGCTCCTGTCTAAATTGTCCCTAGCATGTGTATGTATGAATGTGAGATTGTACGCCCCTTGAGGGTTAGGGACTGATGCGAATGTACAATATATATGTAAAGCGCTGCGTAAATTGACAGCACTATATAAGTACCTGAAATATAAAAATATTATCTAATGGACTTATGGCTGGCCCTCTTCTCTTTTTCTCTTCTCTCTTTTATTTCCTTCCTCCTTCTTTCTTTCTTCTCTTTTGTTTTTTTTTTTTCGTTGTATTCTTTACTCTCTCCTTTGACTCCTCTGTTCAATTTTTTCGGTCTCCTTATTTTGTCAGATGACTAGCTGAAACTGCCCAGGTTTACTGACCAATGGAATATGCGCTACCCTACTGGGGCTGTGTCCTCTTGTTTACAACATCATTGGTTGATGTATTCGTGTGCCTATATACTCTATGACTCTGTTTGTTCGCCACAACTCACCATGTAGGTGGGCTATGTTTCCTATTTTCCTTTATATACTTTCTACAGTTTTTCAATAAAAATATTGAAATATAAATTTCAAGTCACCTCACTATTTCTCTAGTTCGTTGGCCTCTATATAGCTGTTATACAAACAATGTAAGACAATTTTGTCAGAATCCTGAAAAAACAAAAAACTATATACTTGACTTAGTTTGCAGTTTCTTTAGAAAGAGGCCCATAAAGTGATCCTGTCTCTTTAACAAAATAAATAAAGCTGTTAGCAGTAGAGATGAGCGAAGTATTCAAAAATTCGATTCGGCTGATTCGGCGAATTCGCGGAATAAATTCGATTCGAGTCGAATATATTCGCTGCGAATTTAACTTATAAAAAGGGTGTTTCTAGGCTTCAGAGAGCCTTTATATTAGTGCAGAACACTGTACCTTTAATTTAAATGCCCTTGGAGTCTGCTGGGGAAGAGAAATAATACTGTCAGTCAGTATGACATGCAGATGAGTGCCGTCGATCTTAGAATCACCGCACACTTCACTCATTTGGGCAGTCACGGGGCCAAAACCAGAGTGTGGAGCCACAGTGTGGCGGTGGAGGCAGCAGCAATGGGAGGCCATACAGCACCCTATGACAAAATGGAACCCACCAGCAGTGTGAGGAGACCTGAAAGTGGCACATGGCAGAGTGTGGCGATGGAGACAGCAGCAATGGGAGGCCGTACAGGGACCCATGACACACTCTGGACCTGGCAGCAGCATGAGGAGGCGGTACAGGGGCCCATGACAGATTACGGGCCTGGCAGCAGCATGAGGAGTCGGTACGGGGGCCCATGGCAGATTACGGACCTGGCAGCAGCAATGGGAGGCCATACAGGGACCCATGACACACTCTGGACCTGGCAGCAGCATGAGGAGGCGGTACAGGGGCCCATGACAGATTACGGGCCTGGCAGCAGCATGAGGAGTCGGTACGGGGGCCCATGGCAGATTACGGACCTGGCAGCAGCAATGGGAGGCCGTACAGGGACCCATGACACACTCTGGACCTGGCAGCAGCATGAGGAGGCGGTACAGGGGCCCATGACAGATTACGGGCCTGGCAGCAGCATGAGGAGTCGGTACGGGGGCCCATGGCAGATTACGGGCCTGGCAGCAGCAATGGGAGGCCATACAGCACCCTATGACAAAATGGAACCCACCAGCAGTGTGAGGAGACCTGAAAGTGGCACATGGCAGAGTGTGGCGATGGAGACAGCAGCAATGGGAGGCCGTACAGGGACCCATGACACACTCTGGACCTGGCAGCAGCAAGAGGAGGCGGTACAGGGGCCCATGGCAGAGTGGCGAAGCGTAAGCAGCTTAAATTGAAGGCCATACAGAGGCCTATGTTAAAAATAATAACATGTTTGGGGCATGATTCATGGCGGATTTAGTCAGTTGTGTCAGGAACTGGTGGTTTGAAATCCAGACTAATCCACGCCTGATTCATTTTCACAAACGTGAGTCTCTCCACACTTTGGGTGGACAGTCGTGTCCTCCGCGGAGTTACAATACCTCCTGCCGCACTAAACACGCGCTCCGATGCCACGCTACTGGCCGGGCATGACAGCCTTTCAAGGGCAAATTCAGCTAGTTGGGGCCAAAGGTCAAGTTTCGTTGCCCAGTAGTCAAGGGGATTGTCTACCTCGGTTGGCAGGGTGCTGTCCAAGTAGGCCCAAGCCTGTTGTTTGAGGTCCTGCTCCAGGTCCACCTGATGCTGCTGCTGCTGCGGCTGGTTAGTAGTTTCCTCACTGCGCTGGTGAAGAAAGCTACTCATCATCGACTGCAGACTGAGGCAGCCGCTGCTGGTGGAGCTGCCACTGCTCCTACCACCCCACCCCTCCCGCTGCTGCCATGGCAGCGGAACACGAGCGCACAGGGCCCACAGTGTCTGAGGATGAACGTTGGCGCAGAAAGGCAGAGACCAACTGACTACATAGGTGGTTTTTATAGTACTTTATTTTGGCCTCCCTCTCAGCAGGTGTGAAAAAGGCCACCATTTTTGAATGGTAGCGAGGGTCCAACAAGGTGGACAGCCAAAAGTCATCCCTCTGTCTGATGGTTATTATTCGGCTGTCGCTACGCAAGCAACCGAGCATGCTATGGGCCATTTGTGCCAAGGAATGCGAGGGACTCCCTGCCTCCATCTCCTCAGCATACTGCCACGGTGCGTCTGGGTCCTCTGTCTCCTCCTCCTCCTCTACCAGATGCTCCTGCTCCTCCACTCCTGTCCGCTGAGTGGAAAAACCACCCATTTCACTCAATAATTCCTGAGCACCAATGTCCTCCTCTACCTCCTCCTCTTCTTCCTGTCCTGCCCCCACAGAGGTCATGTGGCGTTGAGATCTGTGCGCCACGTCTAACGCACCCTGACCAGCCATTGTTAACAGCATTTGTTCCAGGACGTGCAACAGAGGAATGACGTCGTTCATCCCATAGTCCTGCCGACTCACGAATAGCGTGGCCTCCTCAAAGGGCCTGAGCAAGCGGCAGGTGTCACGCATGAGCTGCCAATGGCTGACATCAAAGTTTACAGGGGAGTACCTTTATCCGCTTGTAACATCAGGAAATCGGTGATGGCCTTTCGCTGTTCGTAAAGGCGGTCTAACATATGTAGGGTTGAATTCCACCTTGTTGCAACGTCACAGCATGAGGAGTCGGTACGGGGGCCCATGGCAGATTACGGGCCTGGCAGCAGCAATGGGAGGCCCGTAATCTGCCAGCACCCTATGACAAAATGGAACCCACCAGCAGTGTGAGGAGACCTGAAAGTGGCACATGGCAGAGTGTGGCGATGGAGACAGCAGCAATGGGAGGCCGTACAGGGACCCATGACACACTCTGGACCTGGCAGCAGCATGAGGAGGCGGTACAGGGGCCCATGGCAGATTACGGGCCTGGCAGCAGCAATGGGAGGCCCGTAATCTGCCAGCACCCTATGACAAAATGGAACCCACCAGCAGTGTGAGGAGACCTGAAAGTGGCACATGGCAGAGTGTGGCGATGGAGACAGCAGCAATGGGAGGCCGTACAGGGACCCATGACACACTCTGGACCTGGCAGCAGCATGAGGAGGCGGTACAGGGGCCCATGGCAGATTACGGGCCTGGCAGCAGCAATGGGAGGCCCGTAATCTGCCAGCACCCTATGACAAAATGGAACCCACCAGCAGTGTGAGGAGACCTGAAAGTGGCACATGGCAGAGTGTGGCGATGGAGACAGCAGCAATGGGAGGCCGTACAGGGACCCATGACACACTCTGGACCTGGCAGCAGCATGAGGAGGCGGTACAGGGCCCATGGCAGATTACGGGCCTGGCAGCAGCAATGGGAGGCCCGTAATCTGCCAGCACCCTATGACAAAATGGAAACCCACCAGCAGTGTGAGGAGACCTGAAAGTGGCACATGGCAGAGTGTGGCGATGGAGACAGCAGCAATGGGAGGCCGTACAGGGACCCATGACACACTCTGGACCTGGCAGCAGCATGAGGAGGCGGTACAGGGGCCCATGACAGATTACGGGCCTGGCAGCAGCAATGGGAGGCCCGTAATCTGCCAGCACCCTATGACAAAATGGAACCCACCAGCAGTGTGAGGAGACCTGAAAGTGGCACATGGCAGAGTGTGGCGATGGAGACAGCAGCAATGGGAGGCCGTACAGGGACCCATGACACACTCTGGACCTGGCAGCAGCATGAGGAGGCGGTACAGGGGGCCCATGACAGATTACGGGCCTGGCAGCAGCAATGGGAGGCCCGTAATCTGCCAGCACCCTATGACAAAATGGAACCCACCAGCAGTGTGAGGAGACCTGAAAGTGGCACATGGCAGAGTGTGGCGATGGAGACAGCAGCAATGGGAGGCCGTACAGGGACCCATGACACACTCTGGACCTGGCAGCAGCATGAGGAGGCGGTACAGGGGCCCATGGCAGATTACGGGCCTGGCAGCAGCAATGGGAGGCCCGTAATCTGCCAGCACCCTATGACAAAATGAAACCCACAGCAGTGTGAGGAGACCTGAAAGTGGCACATGGCAGTGGCGTGGCGATGGGAGACAGGGACCCAGCAATGGGACCTGGCAGCAGCATGAGGAGGCGGTACAGGGACCCATGCAGAGACTACTGGACCTGGCAGCAGCATGAGGAGGCGGTACAGGGGCCCATGGCAGATTACGGGCCTGGCAGCAGCAATGGGAGGCCCGTAATCTGCCAGCACCCTATGACAAAATGGAACCCACCAGCAGTGTGAGGAGACCTGAAAGTGGCACATGGCAGAGTGTGGCGATGGAGACAGCAGCAATGGGAGGCCGTACAGGGACCCATGACAGATTACGGGCCTGGCAGCAGCATGAGGAGGCGGTACAGGGGCCCATGACAGATTACGGGCCTGGCAGCAGCAATGGGAGGCCCGTAATCTGCCAGCACCCTATGACAAAATGGAACCCACCAGCAGTGTGAGGAGACCTGAAAGTGGCACATGGCAGAGTGTGGCGATGGAGACAGCAGCAATGGGAGGCCGTACAGGGACCCATGACACACTACTGGACCTGGCAGCAGCATGAGGAGGCGGTACAGGGGCCCATGGCAGATTACGGGCCTGGCAGCAGCAATGGGAGGCCCGTAATCTGCCAGCACCCTATGACAAAATGGAACCCACCAGCAGTGTGAGGAGACCTGAAAGTGGCACATGGCAGAGTGTGGCGATGGAGACAGCAGCAATGGGAGGCCGTACAGGGACCCATGACAGATTACGGGCCTGGCAGCAGCATGAGGAGGCGGTACAGGGGCCCATGACAGATTACGGGCCTGGCAGCAGCAATGGGAGGCCCGTAATCTGCCCCAGCACCCTATGACAAAATGGAACCCACCAGCAGTGTGAGGAGACCTGAAAGTGGCACATGGCAGAGTGTGGCGATGGAGACATGGGCCCCCTGGCCATGTGGGCCTGGCAGACAGCATTGACTGTTCTGGCCACATAGTCGACATACGGCTACGTTTACTTCCTCGGCGGCTTGACGAAAAATTGCCACACCGCCGAGTAGGAAGGGCCCCCGCTACTCCTCACTGGCTGACTGCTACTATCCTCCGTGCACACCGGCACCACTACTGGCCGTGGTGGTAGGCTGCAGTGGAGCTGGTGCTCTACCCGTGGCCGTTTGCCTCCACTGACACTGCTGCGACCCTGCTGCCTCCTGGGCAACCCACCGACTGTTTTGCTCGCTGCCAAGCTGGCACCCCCTCTTCTCCTGATGATGCGGAAGCAATAGCCTGATGACGACGAGGCTGCCAAGTGCGATCAGCCTCATCATCATCAATTAGGGTCTCCGCCTCACTACTAGCCCCCTCGGCTGCGTGTGGGTCAGGAGACAGACCTGTCTCTAGACCGGGCTACCGAGCCACTCTCCTCGCCAGTACTTCTTCGCCTGGCTGCTGAAGAGGCGGATGTTCCCCCCGTTCCTGACCCGCCCTCTGTTAGCTCTTCCTCACTGTACAGTGGGGCTGAGCCCACAGCATGCGATACTTCGCTTGGTGAGGGAACACCAAAGGACAGGGGCAGGTAGAGGACACGTGATTTCAGTGGGCTTGCTCCCGGGCCATGCCAACTAACGGTTGTGTCTGACGTACCCACCGACCGTTGGCTGTAGGTGTCAGAGGTGACCTGGGAAGAGGAAGACGACCGAGCCAACCAATCGATGACGGCAGGGTTGTCGGTGGAGACACGACCGCTGGATGACACCGGGAGCATTCTGCTGCCTCTGGCTGCGACTAGTGCTGCCTCGACCCCTTCCTCTGCTGCCACGTCTGCTCGCTCCTGAAACATTGCCTCCTCTGCCACTCCCTGCGTGTTGTCTGACATACTCTTTAATTCAACGATTCTGTGTCCCTGAGTAACGATTCTGTGTCCCTGAGTAACAATTCTGTGTCTGTGTCCCTGAGTAACAATTCTGTGTCCCTCAGTGTCCCTCAGTAACAATTCTGTGTGTCCCTCAGTAACAATTCTGTGTCCCTGAGTAACAATTCTGTGTCCCTCAGTAACAATTCTGTGTCCCTCAGTAACAATTCTGTGTCCCTCAGTAACAATTCTGTGTCCCTGAGTAACAATTCTGTGTCCCTGAGTAACATTCTGTGTCCCTGAGTAACAATTCTGTGTCCCTGAGTAACAATTCTGTGTCCCTGAGTAACAATTCTGTGTCCCTGAGTAACAATTCTGTGTCCCTCAGTAACAATTCTGTGTCCCTCAGTAACAATTCTGTGTCCCTCAGTAACAATTCTTCTGTCCCTGAGTAACAAGTAACAATTTCTGTGTCCCTGAGTAACAATTCTGTGTCCCTGAGTAACAATTTCTGTGTCCCTGAGTAACAATTCTGTGTCCCTCAGTAACAATTCTGTGTCCCTGAGTAACAATTCTGTGTCCCTGAGTAACAATTCTGTGTCCCTGAGTAACAATTCTGTGTCCCCCTGAGTAACAATTCTGTGTCTGTCCCTGAGTAACAATTCTGTGTCCCTCAGTAACAATTCTGTGTCCCTCAGTAACAATTCTGTGTCCCTGAGTAACAATTCTGTGTCCCTGAGTAACAATTCTGTGTCCCTGAGTAACAATTCTGTGTCCCTCAGTAACAATTCTGTGTCCCTCAGTAACAATTCTGTGTCTGAGTAACAATTCTGTGTCCCTAGTAACAATTCTGTGTCCCTGAGTAAACAATTCTGTGTCCCTGAGTAACAATTCTGTGTCCCTGAGTAACAATTCTGTGTCCCTGAGTAACAATTCTGTGTCCCTGAGTAACAATTCTGTGTCCCTGAGTAACAATTCTGTGTCCCTCAGTAACAATTCTGTGTCCCTCAGTAACAATTCTGTGTCTGTCCCTGAGTAACAATTCTGTGTCCCTCAGTAACAATTCTGTGTCCCTCAGTAACAATTCTGTGTCCCTCAGTAACAATTCTGTGTCCCTGAGTAACAATTCTGTGTCCCTGAGTAACAATTTCTGTGTCCCTGAGTAACAATTCTGTGTCCCCTGAGTAACAATTCTGTGTCCCTGAGTAACAATTCTGTGTCCCTCAGTAACAATTCTGTGTCCCTCAGTAACAATTCTGTGTTTGTCCCTGAGTAACAATTCTGTGTCCCTCAGTAACAATTCTGTGTGTCCCTCAGTAACAATTCTGTGTCCCTGAGTAACAATTCTGTGTCCCTGTCCCTGAGTAACAATTCTGTGTCCCTGAGTAACAATTCTGTGTCCCTGAGTAACAATTCTGTGTCCCTGAGTAACAATTCTGTGTCCCTGAGTAACAATTCTGTGTCCCTCAGTAACAATTCTGTGTCCCTGAGTAACAATTCTGTGTCCCTGAGTAACAATTCTGTGTCCCTGAGTAACAATTCTGTGTCCCTGAGTAACAATTCTGTGTCCCTGAGTAACAATTCTGTGTCCCTCAGTAACAATTCTGTGTCCCTCAGTAACAATTCTGTCCCTCAGTAACAATTCTGTGTCTCTCCCTGAGTAACAATTCTGTGTCCCTCAGTAACAATTCTGTGTCCCTCAGTAACAATTCTGTGTCCCTCAGTAACAATTCTGTGTCTGTCCCTGAGTAAACATTCTGTGTCCCTGAGTAACAGTTCTGTGTCCCTGAGTAACAATTCTGTGTCCCTGAGTAACAGTTCTGTGTCCCTGAGTAACAATTCTGTGTCCCTCAGTAACAATTCTGTGTCCCTCAGTAACAATTCTGTGTCTCTCAGTAACAATTCTGTGTCCCTCAGTAACAATTCTGTGTCTGTCCCTGAGTAACAATTCTGTGTCCCTGAGTAACAGTTCTGTGTCCCTGAGTAAGAATTCTGTGTCCCTGAGTAACAATTCTGTGTCCCTAAGTAACGATTCTGTGGCCCTAAAGTCTCTTGGCCCTAACTCTGTCCCTAATACAGAGAGGTCTGTCTCTCTTGAATGACCGGAGGCTAATGGAGAATTCTAAGATGGCCGCAATTTATAGCTCGACCATTACACAGTGCTGGCTGGCTGGCTGCTGATTGGCTAATGCGATCACATGTCATGAATGAATGCATTATGGGTCAGCAGCGCGCCTTGTCTGCGCGCCTTCCCAGAGATCCCCTCTCCGTCGCCACACATGTCGCCGCCATTTTTGGAAAATTTTGATTCGCGCATCCGAAGTCTGCTAATTTTCGGATTCGGCGCGAATTTTTCCTAATCTTCGAAACGAATTCCACTTCGCCAAGTTCGATTCGCTCATCTCTAGTTATAATCCAGCAATAATCAACACCGTGCTTGACTTGTGACCCCACGCCCTGCTCACCTTGACCACTGACCTATAGATTATAATAGGCTAAAAACTCGCTGTATAAGGAAAATGTATCTCCAAATTTTTGATCCGTGACGTGTTCCTTCCACGTGTTATACTTCTTTAAACTCCAGATCCATGAAAAATAAAACAAAAACATACCATAGTGCAAAACCGTTTTATATAACCAAAAATTAAACATGTTACAGTATCTACCGTATTTTCCGGCGTATAAGACGACTGGGCGTATAAGACGACCCCCTTACTTTTCCTGTTAAAATGTAGTGTTTGGGCTATACTCGCCGTATAAGAGTACCCCTCTTCCAATGCACACCAGTGGGAAGAATCGTGCCCCATCATTAGTATCAGTGGGAGGAATAGTGCCCCATCATTAGTATCAGTGGGAGGAATAGTGCCCAGTCATTGGTGTCAGTGGGAGGAATAGCGTCCCATCATTGGTGTCAGTGGGAGGAATAGCGTCCCATCATTGGTGTCAGTGGGAGGAATAGCACCCCATCATTGGTGTCAGTGGGAGGAATAGCACCCCATCATTGGTGTCAGTGGGAGGAATAGCACCCCATCATTGGTGTCAGTGGGAGGAATAGCACCCCATCATTGGTGTCAGTGGGAGGAATAGTGTCCCATCATTGGTGTCAGTGGGAGGAATAGCATCCCATCATTGGTGTCAGTGGGAGGAATAGCACCCCATCATTGGTGTCAGTGGGAGGAATAGCGTCCCATCATTGGTGTCAGTGGGAGGAATAGCACCCCATCATTGGTGTCAGTGGGAGGAATAGCGCCCCATCATTGGCGTCAGTGGGAGGAATAGTGCCCCATCATTGGTGTCAGTGTGAGGAATCGTGCCCCATCATTGGTGTCAGTGGGAGGAATAGTGTCCCATCATTGGTGTCAGTGGGGGGAGGAATAGTGCCCCATCATTGGTGTCAGTGGGGGGGGGGGAATAGTGTCCCATCGTTGGTGTCAGTG